AATATTTTTTTTTAGTCGCACCACTGAAAAATTTGGTCGCATTTGCGACCTAATTGGTCGCACTCTAGAGCCCTGTTTATGTTATCATCCATGTCTCCTTGTTTATGAGTCTTTTTCTGTTTGTCATGTGTTATCATCTCGTCTATGTAGGTTCCCCTTGTGTGTGTCTCTCTCGCTCCCTCTCTCTGTCTTTTGTGTCAAGCTTGCGTGTCCCAGTTCATGTCTCTCCATGTTTCCTGTTTTATTTTGAAAGTCTTGTTTCCACATTCAGTGTGTTTAGTTTTGCTTCCCCTGTGGCATCGTGATTATTTGTGTCAGCTGTGTGTATTTAAGTCCTCTGTCTCCCTCTGTTCATTGCTGGTGTGTCTGTTTTCCCTCCTCTGATGCCAGGTGCCTCATGATTCTGTTCAGCTTACGTCATGTTTACTAGTTACTAATAAACATGACGTAAGCTGAGTTACTCCCATACTCCTGCTCAGAATCATGTTCATGTCTCGTTTGTCATAGTTTCCACAGCCTAGCTTTTCCCAGTTTAGGTTTTAATTTAAATTTTGGCCCTGCTCATTTTTGCCTTGTTTTGTATTCATGTTTTTTGGCCAAATAAACGTTTTTTGTTAAGATTCAGTACCGTCTCCTTCCATGTCTGCACTTGGGATCACGTCACAAACACACCGGCTGCCCCGCTGTTTCAGTTTTATTGTATGTTTTTCTGTTCAGGTATGCTTTTACTGCACCGGTGCCTTTACCATGCTGAACAAAATATAGCAAATGTTAGAAACTGAACCAATCAGATTTTCCTAATCAGACAAAAATCTGGCCATTCTGTTTTTTTACGATTCTTGTCTGTATTTATAATTTGATCAGTTATGTCAAGATCTTGTGATCACTTTCTTTATGACATGACATTTAGATACTGTTCATCTGCTGTAGATAGTTTTTAGGTCTGCCACTCCTTTATATTGCTTCATATTGTCCACTTGTTTAGTTTTTCTCAGTTTTCTTTTAAGGCACACTGCACACCATGACAGGGTATGTGAAATTATGTCAGAGACGCCTAATAGCTCTTGGTTGGTGCAAACATACTATTTGATGACTGTTAAATTGTGTTATCATTGCTATTTTTTATAAATTAAAAAACACACAAACCTGAATTTGTGGTTTTTCCTACCGTGTTGCTGGCATCAGGGTGCTAGTAACAAAGTGGCTAAAGATACAATTTCCAACTTGACTGATAAGTTGTCTGCATACACACTGTCACTCTGTGTACACCTCACCTAAGCACACTTTTCCTTTGTTTCAACACAAGTTCCTTTTTTTGTTTCAACACAATTTTATTTATATAGTGCAGAATCATAAGAAAAGTCACCTCACTGTGCTTTATATTGTAAGATTAAGACTCTACAAAACTCTAGGTGAGACTCAAACAATGAAGCAACCCCCTATGAACAACCACTTGGTGAGAGTGGGAAGGAAAAACTCCCTTTTAACTGGAAGAAACCTCCGGCAGAAGCAGGTTTAGGGAGCAGCAGCCATGTGCTGCAATCAGTTATAATTGAAGGGAAAACAAAAAAGAAACAGAGGAGAAAAGAGAACAAGTGCAAAGGGAGAAAGAAGACAAAAATATAATAACATGCTGCAGTATTGTATAAACAGTGGACACTGAAAAGAGGCGAGTGGTGAAGAAGTGCACAGTGCCTATGGGAGCATTTCTAAGGGATGGTTCAGGGTCACCTGACCCAGCTCAAACTATCAGCTTTAGCAAAAAAAAGAGAGGAACTGTTGCTCAAGACCATGTTGAAAAGAAATCACAAGAAAGGCTGTCTCCTTGGAAGAAATAAGGAAATGAAGTGCGGCTCAGGACCTTTGCACAATACTGGAGCTCCGGTGGACTTACTTGCTGCATCAAGAAGACGCTGACGAGGGTACATCTCTGACGAAGACAGCTGTTCCTTCACTTTGTTGATGTCTTTGTGGTGGATGAAATCAAACAAGCTCTGCCCAGTCAGTTCCAACTGTGAATACAAATGTTGTACATCTATTTACTCAGCTTTTTAATGTTTAGTAAATTCAATTTCATTTAATTTTTTACATAGCACTAAGTCACAACTACAGCGCCTCAAGGCACTTTATATTGTAAGGTAAAGGCCCTACGATGATACAGAAAAAAAAAACAAAAATCTGACAAGTTCCTTTGAGCAAGCACTTGGCAACAGTGGGAAAGAAAAACTCCCTTTTAACAGGAAGAAACCTCCAGTTGAACCAGGATCAGGGAGGGGCAGCCATCTGCTGTGACCACTTGGAGGTGATTGGAAAAGAAGAGCGAAATATAAAGTTTTAGTCTTAAATGCAGTTTTTTCCACTGCTCTGTATGGTCTAAGTAAGGGCTGATATCATTGGTACACAGCCTTGGCTGTGGGCACAGAATCCCCACCCAGCTGCTATTCAAACGTTTTTGTTTGGAAGTGGCAGCCAACCATTATACACTGTACATTAGCAGCTAAATCATGCTGTGCCTTTTTTTCACTTTCAGTGATGTTATCTCCCTGTACAAAATCCACTGCCATGCAGACACGGACTAGTTTCTTAGAAGCTTTTCTTTGCTATCCCTCCTAATCACCATTCCTCTCTGCTTGCACACAGTGAGTCTTAAAGTTGAGACTGTAGAGCAGGTGTGACTTCATCCTGCAAAGCATGCACTACAGAGATACTTTCAAAAATGTATCAAAGCTTAGAGATTACTAGCTGTGCAGAAACATCAGGGCATTGCCTTGATTATTAACTTTTACTTGCAGTGCTGAGTCTTCATCAGA